GGCGCTCAATAGACAGGCAGCTCGGGTTGTGAAGCTGCGGTGGCGTGAAAGCGAAGGAGACACCTGCTGATACAAAAGCTCAGCGTGGTGAGACCTTCGAGATCGAGACAAAGCAAGCGTCCAGGCGCAATGAATACTTCGCGAGAGGTCCAAGGATATTTTGGAAGACTAGCGGACTTGATACATATTCAGCGTTTGCCCAGTACAGCGTCAAAACCCGTTCAGAGAGACGTCTCTTTCTTTTCTATGACTTGCATTTCTCAATTATATTCTACTTTGTTCTATTTAATATACATCATGCTCCATCTTTGCAGCTTCAAGTGCGCAGAGCATTCGAAGCAGTTCAAAGCTGTCGAACTTGGCAAAGACGAACAATCGGCACCTGACCCTAGGTCTAGTGACAAGGAGTCACTTCAGGGGCTCTCATGACGGCTGATCATCACTGCAAGGCTTCAGATCCGAAGAATCGACCGGATCTAGGTGCTGAGAGAGATCGTCCATCGCCACCTGGAGTCGTTTCAGTCGGTCAGAAGGTAAATGGCTCTGACGAGGAGGACGACGGACCGAGGCTCTGGCACGCCATCGTTTTTCTAGTCTTGTGCATCATGGCGTGGGCCTCGCGTCACGACTGAGAGGGAAAGCCGGCATCGGATGTGTTTAATATGCCTAGAGCTGCGACGGAGAGGAGTTCGCGACAGGAGGATGTACCTCGTAAACATTTACTTGACTTGCTAGTGAGAGAATCCATTGTCTAGCAAAATTACTAGCACAAGAAGGTGAATGTGCCTGGCGCGTCGTATAGACTCGATCTCCCCGGCACTTGATACTCCTTTCCACTTCATCGACAGCATTGAGACTCTCATTACGGATTCATTCGAAATTTCGACATCGCAAATCAACTCTCCAGCTCAAGCTACCTCGCCGACGAAGGCTGTCTCATCACAGAAAACCATGTCGCCGTCAAAGAACACACAATGTCGCCAACAAAGAAGGCGATCTCGCCAAGAAAAGTATCGTTCCCAACCAAGGCCGTACCAGGCAAGTCATGCTTGAAGAGGACGATAATCACATCGCCAGCCATGAAGACGACCTCCTCGAGCCCTTCAAAGAAGGCAGCTACGAGGTACTTCAGCTTTGCAACAGCCAGCAACGTTCAAGTCATGATGATCCCCTTCGTTGATCGTGGCAGAAAGGTCGGGCGCGCAGGCCAAGTTACTTCAGCAGAGAAGAAGCCTTCAGAAGGCATGACTGGGCAGATCAAACCCGCAAAGTTACCAAAGACTGATGGCAAGAAACTCCCAATCGTCGAGCAGGCAGGCTGAGTTATCTCACCAGAGAAGAAGCCACCAGAGAACCTTGCAGAACAGCCCTTCGGCTTCTGCTGGCAGTCAAGAATCGTTGCAAGTCCAAACCATCCCGAAAGCTAGGTACGGTGTCGAGGAAGTGGATGTACGGACCAGTGCGGAGAGAGAAGGAGCGCAGCGTCCGCGACGAAGGTCCTGGCACCAAGGCGTGGTTCTTCGTGATCCTCCTAACAATCCGGAACTACTAAGTAAGTGAGAGTTGAGCCGAGCGGGAACTTGGGAACAGGAGCGTCGTAGTGCAGCATTAGAAAGGCTTGGGGACTGAGGTCATTTCATTTCGAGGACAGACGCTGGTCCCAATGTAGACGTAGAATGAGCAGCTGAGAATATAAGCTAGCTCAACCGACTTTCAGGTGTTTGATACCGCACATCTCATTTGCCAATGGTAGCCTTGTAGAGGGGTCTCTTCGTGCTGGAACCGTCGGAGGAAAGATCGCATATGTCAGTGCGGATTCCACGACCTTTCATAGCCGTACCGGGACGTGCAGCGATGAGATTTCCGTGCCGCGTGGAGAGCTATTGGAGGTAGGAGAAGAGCTTCTTGCCATTTCCTTGTTCTTGAAGCCACGAAGTCAAGGTGGTATGGTGGCTGCAGGGCCTTGCTACTCGAAGACTGGAAATCCGAACACAGAGCACTCAGCAGGCGCAACGTGGGAAGCACAGAAGTCGCTTATCGCCGCCATGTCTCGTTCTGCAGCAGCCATCGAGCGCACAATCTGGTGTGCAATGTCGTTTCCTGCGCCACCAATGGAGAAGCAGACGTATATTAGAGTCCACGATGGTTAGCTTCCAGCGTTCGTTCGGCATTATCAATGCATTTACGATGACCCCATCAAACGGCATAGAGTCGCATCACCGAATTTTGGTCACTGGAGTAAGATTCTCGATCTGCCGATAGCGATAGCTAAATGCTCATGACGAATTCAGGGCGCAGGCTTTCTTGGATCAAGGCTAGTTGGAGTACTCCTCAGTCAAGGACACAGTGTCACTGTGCTTGATAATCATTGGACGAGCTTGCAATTCAGTTTGAATGACTTCAAAGACGATCCAGCATTGACCATCATCCAGTCAGTCGTAAGAATTTCCATCTGATACGCTTCAGTGCTAAGTTGTCGCAGAGCCGATGTTACGGATGGTATTCCCGTTGAGATTGAGTCTTGTGATCAGATCTATCACCTCGCCTGTCCGGCTAGCCCGGTGCACTTCGCGACACATGCTCTAAAGATCCTTGACACCTGCTACCTTGGAACACGGAATGTGCTAGAGAAAGCGCGGCTATGGAATGCGCGCGTGCTACTTGCCAGCACATCTGAGGTGTAGGTAGAGTGAAACTGTAAGCTTTGACAGGCGCTGAACTGACTTATATCCCGATAAAAGCTACGGGCAAGCAGAACGTGATCCCCAGGACGAAGGTTATTTTGGAAACGTCAACTGCTTTGGCCCACGATCTTGCTATGATGAAGGCAAACGAGTTGCCGAGTCCCTTGCATACGCATATCAACAGCAGTACCCGGGCGCACTGGAGATCCGTGTGGCCAGAATTTTCAATGCGTATGGCCCAGGTATGCATGCAAGAGATGGGCGAGTGGTGTGCAGTTTCGTTGATGCGGCACTTCGGCAAGCAGAAATTTGGATCAATGGAGATGGCCAGTCGACTCGTTGCTTTCAGTATGTTGATGATTGTGTTGCCGGACTCCAGAGCTTGATGCAAAGCTCATGGCAAGGCGGTCCAGTCAATATTGGAAGGGAACAAGCCACTACGATTGCCGAGCTTGCACAAATCATCAACAGCCTTGTTTCAGCAAGCACACGTTGTCCAGAGGCCAGGATTGTTCATGGACCGGCTTTGCCTGATGAGCCGATGCAGAGAAGACCGGATTGCACGCTTGCCAGGAATGTGCTTGGATGGGAGGCAAGAACAAGTTTGCAAGAAGGCCTACGAAGGACGATTGAATGGCATGTAGATCTTTAGCAGGTCAAAGCGGGCGGTGTCAATTTTGGGTGCTCTCGAAATTCGGAAAAGGAAGGGCGTAGTATCATTGAAGTCGGTGGTCGGCATCAAATTGTTCTCGCTGTTCGTAGCTCCAGCTTCGCAGGCCAGTGTCGTGATGGAATATGCAATCGGATGGTAGGCGGAGCGAAGCGTTCACTTCGTCCGGATGACTCGATCCAAAAGAGCACGCACGAAAGCCTCCCCTCCCTCATTACTCGCCGCAGTAGCATTCCTTTGATTGGAACATGCACCAGAAATAGACCACAGGACAGTCTGCGCATAGACACCAGGTGGTTGGTGGATGCCACGCACGACGTCCGCCCAAGCCATGTGTCGTGCATTCAGTCATCCTCGTCCTCGTCTCCATGCACGTCGTCGATGCCGTGGTCGAGCATCCGGCTCTGTGCGACGTTCGAAGCTCTCAGTATGGCAATGCGGGCACGTCGGACGGCTTCTTCTTCGGCTTTCTTGATTGTGCCTGACACGCGCACGACCTGGATGACGCACGGCTGATCAATGGGCTGGGGCAGCTTGGTGACGAAAGACAGCGCCGCCCATGCCAGCCGGTAATGCGCCTTCGCCACGCGTACGATGGCCGTGCTGGTCGCAGAAGAGCAGTATATGACTGGGCGCAAGTGTCAGTGCGTGGTGCAGGAAGCGAGATGTCGAGCGGACGTACTTTTCAGACTTCCCGAGACCATGCCAGCTCCATAGTCGCCGAATAGCTCAGCGACGCCATTGCGAACAACGCGAAGAATGAGGCCTGCTTCGAAGCGATCTGACGACGCTCTTCGGAACTTGACAGACCATGGCACAGTCTCATCCTGGTGCTTCGCCGTCGACGCATCTTGAGGGTAGAGCACGTGCATGAGTAGGTATCGGTGCTTGATGCGGACCATCGTGACGGCCAGTTTTTCATGTCCATATCATATGAAAGAGTGGACAGTCCCTGCGCGAGTCGCGGTTCAAAATCGCGCGTTGCTGAGTCAGCATTTGATGGTGCATTCGACGTCGAAAAAAGTTCGGCAGAAGAGATGCGACTTGTCTCCCCTCCCACATTTCGCATTACGCTGAACAAAATGTCCGACAAGCGCTTCAGTGCGCTCGCTAAAGATCCGCGATACCGTCTCCCCAGCAAAAAGGAAGCCCGCACTGCTGTCGACCCTCGATTCAAGACATTGTTCACAGACCAAGAATTTCGCAAGAAGGCTAGCGTAGATCGCTATGGGCGAAAGATCAAACCTGATGCCGGCAAGAAAGAATTGGAGAGGCTGTACAGATTAGATAAAGACGATGAGTCGGCGAAAAAGGCGGACAAGAAGGTCGAGCGAGAGGTGGTCGGTAGCTCAGACGAGAGCGAGGGAGGCGAGGATGAAAGTGAAGACGAGGAATTGGTTGAGAAGCGCGACCCTGCGCGAGATGGAGGCTTCTCAGGATCCTCATCAAGCGAAGAAGAGACGTCAGATGAAGAGGAAAAAAGCGAAGAAGAGGCAGAACTGGCAGACGATACCGCGGGAAATGAGCACACTGAAGACATTCCTATGGGCGACGTCTCTAAACGGATTGCCTGCGTGAACTTAGACTGGGACAACATACGTGCTGCAGATATTATGGCAGTAGCATGTAGCTTTGCGCCGAAGAGTGGGAGGGTAGAAAGTGTCACAATATACCCCAGCGAATTTGGGCGGGAGCGACTGCAGCGAGAAGAGTTCGAGGGCCCCCCACGAGAAATATTCGCCAGCTCGAAAAAGAAGCGAGATAACGAGGACGAGGACGATGACGAAAGCTCAGACGATGACGAGAAAATCAAGGAGCGACTATTGAAAGACCAAGCTGGCGAAGGAGAAGAGTTCGACACTGCTAAGCTGAGGCAATATCAGCTGGAGCGCTTACGCTACTATTATGCAGTGATCGAATGCTCGGATAATGCTACAGCTAAGACGTTGTACGACTCCATGGACGGGCGCGAATACCTATCTACGTCAAACTTCTTCGATCTGCGTTTCATTCCAGACGAGACCTCATTCGATGAGGATACTCCTCATGATGAATGTGTGGATCTTCCGCAAGGCTACAAACCCAACGAATTTCGCACGGAAGCGCTGACGCACTCCAAAGTCCGCTTGACATGGGATGACGACGACGCTACTCGTAAAGAAGTCCAAAAGCGTGCTTTCTCTCGTGCAGAAATGGACGAGAACGACCTCCAAGCCTATATCGGTTCGGATGACAGCGACGCAGACTCCATCTCCTCTCGCGTCTCAACCGCCGAACAAAAGCGCAAAGCCAAAGCCGACGCCAAACGAGCCAAAGCACGAGAAGCTTTCGGCTTGTCTCTCGAACCCACGAAATCCAGCAAAACGGACAAACACGAAGTGGTAGGCGACATGCAAATCACCTTCACTCCCGGTCTATCCTCCAAAACAAGTGGCCAAGTCTTCGAAAACGAACCCCAAGATGAAGAATCCACCCGACAACGCTACATCCGGAAAGAAAAAGAACGCAAACAAAAACGTAAGGAACGCGCCAAATCTCGCAATGCAGAGGAAGAAGAAGAAGCAGACCTCGGCGCCAAAGAGGAGAATGATGACGACGAAGGTTTCAACGACCCCTTCTTCCACAACCCCACCGCCTCCGCCGCCGCAGAAAAATCCGCCCGCAAAAAAGCCGCCAAACGCGCCGCTCGCGAAGCCGTCAACGCCGAAGCCGAAAGCCGTCGTGCCGAACTCGAACTCCTCATGACGGAAGAAGGAGAAGCAGGCGCCGCTCAACATTTCGACATGCGAGAGATTGAAAAGGCGGAGAAGGCTGCGAGGAAGAAAGGGAGGAAGAAGAAATCCGAGGGCACAGCAGCCGCACAAGAGGATTTTGAGCTTGAAACTTCGGATCCGAGATTCAAGGCGCTCTTTGAGAGTCATGAGTATGCGATTGATCCTACTGCGCCGGCGTTTAGGAGGACGAAAGCTATGCAGGGGTTACTGGAGGAGAAGAGGAGGAAGAGGAAGGGTGATGAGGACGAGGAGGATGGGGAGAGTAGGGTGAAGAAGGTGAAGAAAGATGAGGATGCTGGAGGTGGTGAGGATGATGTCAAAGGTCTTGTGGCGAGGTTGAAGGATAAGAGTAAGAAGAGGAAAGCTGGCAGGTCATAGTTTGAACATGAGCTGTTTGGTCCGGGCTGTGGATACTTAAGATAATGCATTTCTCCTATCATCTAATTCCACGCCACCAACAGCTGGGCCAGCGCCTTCTTCGTCGAGACCGATACCTCTGTTCCGATCACTGTTCTGTAGCCCCGCACTATCCGGAGGTGATTCGCCGACGCTTGCATAGCCACCGCTATCAAGTCGTGGCGCTCCTCTTCCAACCCCGACCTTCACTCCGACCCAAGACGCAGCGCTTCTCAGATACTCCCACATCGTCTCTTGTACTCTGATCTGGCCGGCTTCATCCCGAGGGTTCTCGTGTGCTTCGGCTTGGAATTGGTATTTGAGGCAGTCTTTGACGGTGACCAATCCTGTCAGTCTTCCGCGATGCTCGACGAGAATGACTCTGGGGCCGAGCTTTTTGAAAAGTTCCATCACGGTCTCCAGTGGGAGGCGAGGATGGACGGCCAGAGGAGTAGGGTCTACAAACTTGCTGAAGTCCACGCTCATCGCTGGTCCTGTCTCAGCGATGTCGTCGAAGGTGATCGCGGGAGCAAGCGTACTTGGAGTTGTAGCGGTTCGTGGTACGTCTTGAGGTGCGAAGTGGCATTTGGCTGATGGATGTACCATTTGTCCTCGTTTCGCGCGATCGAGAGCGTAGCGCAATTCTGTGCGGCCGATGTAGCCGAGCAGGATGTGAGTCTCGGCGTCTTCCACGATCGGAAAGCCTTGGTACTTGGATTCAGCGAGAATGCGTTCGACTTGGGAAAATGTCAGAGCAGATGCAGGAAGAACGGTAGGATCGGCTGTCATGCATGCTGAGACTGGGACGCCAAATGTGTGCTCTTCTTTGTTATCGAGAAATGGGAAGCCATTGAACCAGATCATACGGTCTGCGATACCGCCTTTGCCAAATCGTTCGCTGACAGCTTTCGTGACTCCGATTACGATCATGGTCGGGAGAATGTATGTCAGTGCGCCTGTCAGCTCGAACATGATGACTACGACGGAGATGGTGAGATGCATGATTCCGGCAAGAGCAGCGCCAGCACCGAGGAAGGCGTATGTGCCTGGTGTAATGCATGTTTGTTCTGGCACGCAAGCCGAGAACCAAGCTGCGTTCGGGAACGACTCATGTAAAGCCTGAACCAGCATACCGACCATGCGTCCAAAGGAGGCACCTATTGCCATGGACGGCACGAAAATGCCGGCAGGGACCTTGCAGCCATATGAGATGATGACCAGTCCAGTGCGTAAAATTGTAGCGATGGCTAGGCTGAAGATCATGCGCCAACGGTGCTGAGCCTCGCACAGCTCATCATAGTCGTGCTCTCCTTCGCACTCTTGGAAGAGGATCTCCATACTCTCAGTCATGTCGATCTTTAAAAACATATTGGGAAAGCAGATGATAGCCGTGGCAAAGGCGAGGATTGTAGCCTCCAGAATTCCATATTGCGACAGGTATCGCTTACGAAATGCCTGCACGCGCATATGCCACTTCATGACAAAAGCACCATAGCAGCCGCCGAAGACTCCGAGCAGAATGTAAAAGGGTATCTCAAAGAAGTGCCAGCTCCGGTCGTATCGCACCGTGAACATGACCAGTTGGCCTGTTCGGAAAGGGTTCATGGCTGCCAGAAAGGCTGTAGCTACCAGGGCGCAGAAGAAAGACCTCCACAAGGTCTTGAGGGGGAAATGGGTGCACATCTCCTCCAAGCTGAAGAGAACTCCGCCAATGGGACTACCGAATGCCACAGCGACTCCTGTAGCAGCAGATGCGGACAAGATTTCGCGGGTCTTGGCGGCATTACGGCGGTACTTGTGGAACATTCGACTGATGACATTGCCAGTGCAGACAGCATAGTGGACCGAAGGGCCTTCCTTGCCTACACTGAGGCCTGAAGCAATTGCCAGGGGAAGAGCTATGGACTTGATGAGGAGTGTCCAGAAGCCAAGAAAGCCCTTCATGACGAAGCCTGCAATGATGCATTTGATCTCACTAATTCCAGAGCCCGCAGCGTATGGAGCAAAGTTCTTGACCAGGATAGCTGCAAAGCTGGAGAAGAGCACAGCGAAGAGGATGTAGATCAGGTAGTTGACGGGACCGAAGCCAGTCCACGGCTTCCACTCGGCACACCCACTTTCTGAGCCCCAGCAGCAGAAGTTCTCGTTCAGATAGAAGGCAGTGGTGCAGTGGCCCATCTTGATATCTGATAGCCATTCCGTCACGATGTTCAGGAAGGCGGCATTGAGCCCTATGGCAGCGCCGATGAGGGTGACCACGATCCAGCCCTGAGCGGCATCGTAGGCCTCCCACAGCTTGCGCCTCCAGCCTAGCCGTCCGTCTCTGTCAAAGAAGCCAGCTCTCTCCTGCCTCCGCGCCTTGCGACGCTGCTGTTCACGTGCGGCATCTTGCACCCAGTCTATTGTCGTGAAGTCCTCATATCGCTTGATCTCCGCGATCTCGTCGGCGACGATCTGATCAGCGGTCGACACTGGTTCGCGTTGTCCTGCTTCTACCGTCGAGATGGCGGAGAGTCGGCGATTTGGCGGTGGTGGTGGCGGTTGCGAGCTGCGGCGGGCATTGGGGGGCACGCTGGTGGCATAGGGGGATCTGGATGTGCGCCGGGCAGGAGTCGGCTCGTGGATGGAAATGCTGCTGACGCGCCTGTTCATCGCGTCAACATCCCCGCATCGCCTTCTTCATGTCGCGGCGGAGGAGAAGTGAAGTGGTGCTTGTTCCTGCCTTCATTGTTGATGCCTGATAACTTAGCGAATCCGTGTGAAAGCCAAAGGCCAACGCCAGCCAGCCGAGATCTCGGCGATTGTTCGGAATTGGACGTCGCGTTCTTTGTGCCGCGTCTCCAAGCAGCTCCCGCGACACACAGCACGACACCCAGCACGCGGTGGAAAGACGTGCAGAGCATTTCCGTGTGCGAGTTACTGTATACAGCCTTCTCACAGCAGCCCACATGCCTTACAACAACACCCCAATCGCTCCAACACAGGAGATCACCGGCACAGTGTCTCTTCCATGTATTCATCCGACCGTGTTGCTACTGCTGCGTGCCTCAACTGACGGCGAATACAGTGGCCCGCGTGAAGAAAATCATCAATACCGATCCCGACATTGGCAGTTGTAGTAACAATGCCGCCTTCGTCATCACACTCGCAACCGAGATGTTCCTCCAGCATCTGGTAGAGCAAGCCTACAACCAGGTCAAGACAGAGCATACGCAAAAGCCGAGGCGTAATATCCAATATCGCGATGTCGGTGAGCTGCAGCATCTGAATTCTTCCGCAGAAAAGTTCAGACACTGATGTCAGTAGCCAACGCTGTTGCGCGCGTCGAGAACCTCGAATTCCTATCAGACGTCGTACCTCGAACCCAGACCTACAAGCAGTTCAAGCAAAAGCAAGCAAAGGACGCTGCTGCTCCAGCAAATGGAGCAGGGAGCGGACAGGGCACGCTCGATGGACATCTCGGAGCTAAAGAAGCTCAAGCGACCAATGGCGCAGCGCTCGATGCCATGGATGTTGACAAAATTGCCGAATCAAACGAGCCAGCAGATCAAGAGTCTGATGAAAGAGGTCTAGACGACTACTGAACGCTCGATCGCCATCATTCTAGCATGTCATCACAGCTGCGCAGATGCGACAGTGTTACGAATGAGAATGGTGCGGAAGTCTGCTCCCAGCGCGAACCCAAATTCCAGCAGCCATGTACAGACCTGGATCAACCATCATCACCCGGAGCAAATATCGGAAAGGCCGTCGATTATGCTATACGACATGCACTAGGGCTGGTGGGCCTCTGTGGGCTCGAACTAATTGGGTCTACCCAATGTATAAACGACTTTATTGGACTTTTGACGAGGACCTGGAATTCGATGTTGCGTTCAATGCAAGAGAGTCTTCTTCCAACGCGTTCCCACACATTGAACGCTATGGCAGTGCTCCTCAGTCCAAGGCTCGGAGTCGTGTCTCTACGACGGGAATGAGGGTCAATTCTTGTGAGACGTAGCTGCTGCGAGAGATGCATTCAACGCTTGAGCTTGGTTCCAGATCTTGGCCCTTGTATTGCATCAGATAGTGAAAACTTGTCTGCTGCAGCACCTCCAATGGTGCATCGACACAAGCCTGAACTCGATGATTCAATAATATGACGCCAGACGCTGCGAGAAACTTGCGTCAGACCAATCGCTGCAACGGAGCTGTACAAACCTAAACATTACACCACTCTCACATCGAGTCCGACGTATGCAGTTTAAAAAGGATCCTCATGACCCAAAGTTTCTCAGTCTCACAATTCCGCCTTCACTCCAACCTCACTCCCTACCCTTCCCATCAGCAAAGCATCAACCTTCTCCCCCTTCTTCACAACTGTCCTATCAGTCGGTAAACAAAGCAGAGCATTCGCTCCCTTAAAGCTCCCAATCGCCGAACTCCTCTGAAACCCCGTCGAAGCAGCATAAAGCAGCCCATCCGCTCTCGCCGTAACAACCACACGATGAAATTCCGCTCTCTGAACATCACACTTAAAATCCGACGTCGCAATCACCTTCACCTTCGGAAGTCCCACCGGAGAAATCCCACAAAATCTATGCAACGAAGGAAGCACGAAAAGATGAAAAGTCACGATCGCCGAAGCCGGATTTCCCGGGAGACTGAAGATAACTTTCCGTTCATCGTCCCCCGAATTAGATTTTAGGGGTATGGTGGCGAAAGTTGCGGGTTTGCCTGGTTTCATGCTCACGCGACCGAAATGAATTTTGCCGGCTAGTTGGCGTTCGATGGTGGGTTTTAATAAGTCGAGTTCGCCCATGCTGACGCCTCCAGAGGTGATGATTACGTCGCAGGAACGTAGGGCGGAACGGAGGGTTTCTTCTAGAGCGCCTGGAGTGTCGGAGGCTATGCCTAGGTCGATGGCTTCGAAGCCTTGGCCTCGGATTGCGGTGAGGAGGGTTGGACGGTTTGTGTCCCGGACTTGGCCTAGTTTGAGGGGGCGCGTGGTTGTGTGAGGGATGATTTCGTCGCCGGTCGAGAGGACGCCGATGCGTGGACGAGAGTAGATTGTTACGTTTTGCACACCGACTGAAGCTAGCAAGCCGAATTCTCCGCCTATGGATGTGATTGCGGATCCAGCTGCGAGGATTTTCGAGCCGGCTTGCACGTCTGAGCCAATTTCTCTGACGTTCTCGCCAGGCTTGATTGCGTCAGTGAGGATTTCGATTTCGCCTTCTTCCTTGCCATCGTCGGTCATTTGACGAAGTACTGTATCTTCTACCATTACGACTGCTGTGGCGCCTGGAGGAAGAGGTGCACCGGTGGTGATCCGCATGACTTCGCCAATCTCCAGTTTGGGGATGTCCTTCCCAGCTTCGGCATGGGATATTCCCACGACTGGGAAGAGACCTTTCGTGCTGGGAACCATAGGGTGGTCGGAAGCCACGATTGCATAGCCGTCGACTATGCTGGCACGAAACGCTGGGACTGATTCGGCTGCGACTACATCCTTGGCCAGAACTGCACCGACAATAGATTCAGTAACAGGGGCCTCAATTGATTTCGGTGCTGGTGTGTGCTCCGCAATTTGCGCCAATGCATCGTCTACAGAGAGCATTGGGTAGGGCGATTCGCGATATCGTCGCGTTGGTCCTGCGCTAGGGTCGTTGGAAAGAGCGGGTCTGTGTTCTGGCTTGGTATGTGCTCGAGGTCCGTGATGATGACCATGGCCATGGTGTGAGTGGTCATGGGAGTGGGACTGAGAGTGATCATGCTTGGCAAGATCGGCTTGAGGGGAGGCTGCAACGCCTGCATCTTTCTCAAGTTTCTTTACACCTCCAACATGTAGCGTGCGAGAGTCAGCTCCAGCTGCCTGTTGGCAAGCATGCGGTAAGAGCTTCAGCACGGCCTCGAGATTCTCCTTGGCACCTTTGGGCGAGCCTGGAAGCGTCAGTATCAGTGTCCTGTTTCGGACACCTGCTACTGGTCGAGCCATCGCGGCAACTTGAGTTTTCATCAGTACAGTGCGCTTATGTGGCGAAGCAATAGTGTGATCTCTCACATGGGGTGATAGCAAGTGATGCGGCCAACATAGTATGTACTAGTCCCGCCGCATTCTTATGGAGTAAAGGTGTTACTGCCTGTGAAATGCTGTCAGATGTCCATTGCCTGGTGCATGCTCATCAAAGAGCCTATATGCCGCCTCATCGCAGGCCACGGCCATGCTACAGACATTACGTTGAAGCATTCTGCTTACCTCTGGGGTGACATCTTTCTCTGCAAAACCTGTACCTCCGCTGGTAATGATCAGGTTCAGCGGATCGGTAGTATCTGTCCATTGCGTTATGGCCCGTTGGATATCCAGCACGTTATCAGGGACTATGCTGGTGTCATCGGCGGTCCATTGGTCGCCACCTTTATCTACGAAGACTTCTCGGAGTGTAGGGACACCTTTGTCGGTAGAAGGGTCCTTGCTGGCTGTCTCCGAGATTATTATGATGCCTGCTCTCAGCTTCGACATCGTTGTCGCTGCGGAATGTAAGCGATGAGAGATTAATGGTCCAGTGTGGCTGATGGTGTTTGCAAGGTTGATTCTGGGTGGGAGCAGAGATGTCGTCTTATAGCTATGGTAGTGCGCATTGGCAAGCAGCCGCACAAGGCGATTCATGCAGAAGTGATATGACATGTGAAGCGCATGAATGAAAATGGTTGGGTGAAGCGGAGGGAGGGAGGTGCAGATTTCAGCACCTGCGCAGCTTTCAGAACGCAAGGATGTAGAATAGTTCATCTGACTTCATCACAACAACGCCAACGTTCTCGACATCGACCGCCCATCTTTGCTTCGAGGTTGCCAAGACGTTTCAGCATAGAGGGGATGTAGGACATCTAAGAGATGGGACCTGTGCATGTCGGGCTTCACGACCATATGACTGGACTTCAACTCGCATAGGTGGGAGCAGCTCATCGGTAAAGGGACGTCGTACACTGCCGATACGAAAATCTACAGTGCGATCATTCACCGTGGGACAATTTCTGGAGGCCGTATCGCTGGTGGTCCACGTGGACTGACCGAATCAAACGGGAACGAAGAACAGGTCTTGAAATTGGTGAGCTGGGCATAGCAATGCAGCCCGTCTGCTCTGAATACTGGACCAGATCGATGATGCCGCAATCGATGTCACAGCAATCAGCTTCGATATTCCGAGCCGAGCCACCTCCATGTTCAGGCGCAGAACGAGCAAAGAGCGTCTTGGCAGCTGACGCAGGTGGTAGTCCATCCTATTTCACTGACCACGTTTGTGTAGACTGTGGACCTGTATCTCGAACTCTGGAAACCTTTAGCATCCTAGCGACCGTACCAAACACTGCTCCCGCTGTCTCACACGCAACCACAGTACAGCTGCAAGATGGATTCAGTCTCTGTTTCCGTTTCATCCTAATCAATGTCGACTGTTGTAATTATCCGACTTGGCAACGACTCCAAGGTGTATCGAGATCCTGGAATACATGGGAGTTGACCTCGTGAGCCGTTCTTTCCGTTTGTGGTCCATACATTGGCCTGAAAACTTGGCCCGGACCTGCATTTGAGCTCGGTGAATTGGTTTCCGAGAGAACGGTAGATTGTGCTCTTGTGCTGAGCGTAGCCTGCACGCGTAGGATAAGGCGTCGCGAGGGAGGATGATGGTAACCCATTCGTCTCCAGTCGGCAACGTACAATCAATACTGATACATGCACGCCAAATCGTGACGAAGGCTTCCACCCTCATGGCACCCTTATGGCAAGTTGAATTTGTTCCTGCATTGCTGCTGGAAAAATGCAGATTGTTTTGAGCAGCAGTCTATATTTCGAAGTTCTTTCATTGATCGTCATTAGGAGCTACGAAAAGACTTGATTCTACGATACCGTTTCAACCCATGATCATTGTATCGTCGTATCGTCATTGACAATCGTGTAACACCGCAACACCTTGCTAGCCGCCATGAAGAAAGCGAAGGATTCCATGCAATCGCAGCACAGCTTACTTCCTGGCTGTCGGGTTCCATGAGGAGTATTTGATGATCTGTCGTGCATGTCCGTAGAGTCCCATCGTTGCCATCAGGACAAGATATGGGATGTACATAGAGCAGAAGAGCACCATCTGCCACCGCGTACTGAACTCTGATCGCACTTTCTCAGTGAAGTAAAGCGTGAAGAGCAATGCAACGATGGTCGCGAAGAAGAACCATTCCGCCATAGGGTATCTGAAGAAGAGCAAGTGCACAAACTCTCCAACAGTGTGAGGCCAGTCGACAATGACGAAGCTGAATAGCAGACAGGTGTGCTGGGTGACGAGGTAATAACTAATTTCTCGTACGAGCAGCAAAGACACGATGCCAAATCGCTCATCAAAGCCTCGTTTCTTGCCATCTGGTGGATTATTCCACGTCATCGGCATGTGGACGTACGATGCTTGAGTCCAGCCTTGAGCCCACCGGAGACGCTGTTTCCAGAATGCTTGGAAGCTGTTTGGTGCCATCTCGAACGAACACACATTCATATCGTGCACGGCTTTCTTGCCCTTGCCATACGCGCGCAGGGCGGAATCGATATCTTCCGTCAGCATTTCGCCATGCATTTTGTGTTCGCGAAGTAGTGGTGCTTTCCAGTAGCCATTGGAGCCGCAGAAGAGACCAAAGCCGAACATTCTGCTTCGACCTGGATGGGAAATTGCGTAGATCTTGTCGAACTCTATGGCTATCATCTTTGCCCAGAAACTTTCGTTGGTGTTGTAGACGATGCACCGACCTTGCACAATGTCCACGGATTGGTCGGCCAGAAAGCGTTCAGCTGCCCATCGTGGATTCCAAGGGTGTGGACAGTGATCACTGTCGAAGATTCCAATGACATCAGCGTCGGAACGTAGACCAAAGAAGTAGTTGAGGTTGTCTGCCTTGGATTTGGATCCTGGTACTTTGATCACCCGAAGATTCTTGTACTGTTCCGGGAGTAGAGCAAGTTCGCTCTCAAGTGGTTCGATGGCTTTCGGGGTGTTGTAGACAAGATTGACTCGTAATTTCTCCTTCGGATACATGAGCTCCTCACACGCGTAAAGGACCTGATTGCGAATGATGTCTTTCTCGTTTGGCAAGTAGGCGACAATTACCATGTCAATAACCGGTAGATCTTGGACTTTGCCATTGAGGTCGCTGGGAAAACACCCTGCAGCTTCGACTGCCATCGCAGCTTTTCGTGCATCACGCACCGGTGTCAAGCCCAAGAAAGACTCTATCACACAACATGCGGCGATGTAGAAATTTGTTGCCATGTAGAAGAAATAGAAGACCTTAATCGTCGCCTGATTCACCAGGCAAAATATCGCGGTCGATACGATAAAGTATGTCGATACCAGGAAGAAAGGCGTCCATTCCAGAATCCAGTCAGAGAAAGCAAGACTGCCTGATCGAATTGAGCCGAGCGCGCGGGATGCGACTGATGATAGCAGCGACTTCTTGCCGGATGTGTTTGAGGATGTCCGACTCGCGTCATGTCCTGCGCCAGGGAGAACATTTCTTGCGAAAGAGAGCATCCTGGGTGGTGAAGGCAGTCAAGTCTCAGTACAATGCTCAAGTGACCCTGCTTGTAATGCTGCTGGCCGCTCAAGGGTGTCGCCGAAAGAGGATACTCGCGGAGTGATCGTAGATGGTCAGTCGAGAATGCGAGAACACTCAACAACTTACTATGTAGCTCATCTCCGGACAAGAATGAGATCATACAACGGCTACGAGGTCAATATTTTCATACGCCTGGCCATACCGCCGCTGTCTCTGGTCCCGATTGAGACTGTGGAGAGTACATGATCAAAGTAACGCCATCCAGAACAGACAAGATCATCGAGACCGTCCGCTCAACAACAAAATTGTCATCTTGCCAGACTTGCCTTCATGATGCACCGGCAGCGTTGACACAGGCGTCTCTGGAGCCCTGTCGAGATTGGTCTTCGCCTAGATGGACAAGAGAATCGGATGCGATCCGCTGTGATCCAGCTGGCGACTAATGGTGGTCGATGCGGTCAACGTGAAACAGAAGACTGATAATGTCGCAGACGACTACGGGAGTGGGAGTGGTTAGCTCGCCCGAAGGTGTGATGGTCTCGATAGTGAGATGAAGTCTAAATTGCACAGGAAAATCTTGTGTCCTGAGGCAGAAGTTTTCGGAAGATGCCGTCTCAGCATTTACGGTAAACATTTCATCAACAAGTCGGCCATGAGTCTAATGATACACCGTTGATACTATGCAGAGCTGGTCTAAAGCGGTGTGTCGAACAGCAAGATCGCACGACGCCTTCCAAACGGCAACGGGCCACGGAAGGCGTACCGCTGGTAGCCTTCCCACCAGCGTACCAAGATTCGAAATATATGCTGCAGTGCCAACTTGTGCCAGCTTCGTAGGCGGCATGCTCAATCGAGCCAAAAAAGCTGGGTTGGCCTCGTGGCAACTGATTGTAGATGAAGCAGAAGTCAACGGATTGGCAAAGTCTGCTCAAGTCTACTAGCAGCAGCATGTGGCCAAGGGCGATATACATACGTCCTGCGTCAAGGCCCCGTGTTGCAGCTGCAGAGTTCCTGCGTAGCTGCACCAGCACCGGGTGGCGGTACCAGAGAGCGCAGCAACTGCTGCAGGTCATCCGACGCGTTTCTGTAATATAATCGGCCACTGAGACATTTTGGTTCAAGAGGTCTGTTAGCCACATGCCGATGGCTGATCTCTTACTGGAAGGTTGGATCCACACTGCCAAGCTAGACCTGCTGGTCTATGGACCTCTCTTTGGATCGAGGCAGACCTGTGAATGAATGACTGACTAACTGCTGAAATCCGCCTAAAGTGTGCTTAGATCTTCTGAACTAACTACTGCATCAGAGCAGCGAGGCGAAACCAAGGAGTACGACTTGGTATAATGCCTGGACTCTATACTGGCAGACCTGAGCGGCCGAAGGACAGCGAAGAAAGCAGAGATGATACCCGAGAGCTCAAGCACCCTCAGTCCAGAACAAGCATTGCGGCTACGATGAAGGACATGACTACGCCGATAAGAACAAATCAGCAACTGTATCTCACGGGACTGAGAGGAATATTGGTCATCGAAAGCTTTTCATGGACATATTTCGCGACATTTCTTCCGACTTTGACCTCAAAGAATACACCTGGTCCAGAATACCAAGACATCGTTCGAGAAATCTTCAGCGTACCGCTCTGGAATTACAGCTTCATCTACAACTTTTTCATCATCCTGTCAATGCGGACGATAGCAGTTTCTTTCCTGGCGAATCCAACTGGCCAAGCATATGCCGCTGCAGTCATACGACGAATTGTGCGCATGGTCATCATTCTGTGTGTTGCCTCTGGCATGGCGACCTTGATATTCTCACAGATCGGGGTCCAGTTCATCGATGACTTCAAATCAAAACTACCAAACCGGTCCATACAAACCCCTACAATAGTCTACGATGGGGGTGCAGCAATCAACTCTCTCTTCGATCTATTTTGGATTCAGCGGAAATTTTACACGCAAGCAGCGAACAGCTTCTGGCCAACTGCAACTCTTTGGGTTCCTTCAGTGATGTACTTCCAGGTGAGTGCGTCCGTGGATATCGCCTGATCCATGCTGACATGGCATGCAGTCTTTCACAGTCTACTTCCTTATGGTCATTCTGCCTTTCACGAGACCAAGGTGGCATATTAGTGGCCTCTTCTTGTTTGGCTTCGGCTCTTTTTGGATGGCTTACTGGGGCTGGTATTCTGCCACAGGACTAATTTTTGCTTCCATTGCAACCAACCCTACTCTGAAGGCGGACCTGAAACGAGGATTCAAAATCCGCGACGAGTGGCACATTCCATACTGGGCTATTGCGCTGTTCTTCGCAGGCATTGGCATTGCGCTCAAATACGCTTTCATCATACGGCCGCAGTACATGAATGCAGAACTAGCTCTTCACCCTTACCTGGATCTCCTTCAGGGTTATCAAAAGTCTACGTACATTGATCAAGGACCCTATGCCCGTTTTGACGACTGGCTCATCATCGTGGCTATCTTAACAGTCGTCGAATTGTTCGATGTCCTTCAATTCGCACTGTCCTTGAAGCCCCTGGTCTGGCTTGGTGAGCGATCATTCAGTGAGTCATCTAGACGCATCTTCTTCACACATCCTGCTAACACGATGGTTCAGGCATCTTCACAGCCCAGTGCATACTCTTTTGGACAGGTGGTATCAAACTCTGGCTTGTGCTATATGATCAGCAAGGCTTGAGCAAGTCTAGCGCGAACGGTGTGGTCTTTATTGTGTGCTTGCTCGGTGTCGCCGTTTTCTCCGAGTTGTTCTACACTCTGGTGGATTTACCATCCAAGTGGGCAGCTAAAGAGACCTATCTGTGGCTTGTGCGATAGACGCCGCACAGGGCTTTACAATCACCCGTATTGTTTGATGAAGTTTCTGCTGCCTGAGTCTCGACTTGTCGCAAATTTTATGCATACTAAAGATCACCGGGCTGCCTCTCTAGTCTCTACTCGATCGACATGATCTTCAATTAAAGTTCCTCGCAGATCGGCCGTTGAACGTTAGATACTGTACTGCCTTTTGCGGTTTACCGTAGAATGCCAAGTATAGCACCTCCGCAGCACGGAACCTTATAGTTTACTAGGGAATATGCTTCTCTTTGCTCTTGCTAACTATATATCGTATCCTTATACCGCCCTATACCGCTAAATAGCGATTATAATTAACCTGCCCTCCGAGCTAGCTTATACGGTCGCAATCTACGCCGCTAGTAACCTCGTACGGCTATATTTCGAGATAGCACCTCTAAGAGCGTTATAGTCGCGCAAACTAGTCGAGAAGGACCTTCCGGCGTATAAGGCAGCTACTAAGAGGCGCGAGTCGCCTATAAAGGATATAGCGAAAGGCAAAGGTAGAGGTAAGAAGCTAACTATAAAGTCGTTAGCGGCGGAAGCGTTAAAGAGGTTTAATAAGGCTCGAGCCTTCGACCCGTAGGCGTATAAGGAGCTTAGTAACTAGTTAATCGAGAACGCGTCGATAGCGGTTAGTAAGGAAGAGATAGTCGACTTAACGGCTTTAGAAGCCTCGCCTTCGAAGCCTTCGAAGAAGTTAGCGCCTACTATATAGATAGTAAATAGAGTAGAAATAAGGGAAGAAGATATTAAAACTGCCTCTTACGACTCGCGTAACAGTTTCTAATATAGACAAGTATAGCGCCTACTTACTAGTAACTAAGAAGTCGTAGTAAAGAATTTTAAGCGTACTAGCTAGTCTACTTAATATTGCTATAAAGCCTTCTATTAGGTAGTCGCTAAGGCGTAGAAGAAGCAGCTCTTTATTAGCGACTGCTTTGTAATCGCTTCTACGAAGGGTATTAGCAAAGGTAACTAGTTTAAGCAATTAATAACGTAGGAAGAAGAAGGTAAGGTCGTAATTGCCGCTTCGGGTATATCCGTACGCTCTTACCTCGTTATAGTACTAATACTCGTAGGAGACGATTATAGGATAGCTCTCGCTACCGCTCTCGAGTTTAAACGTAAAGGCAAGGATAAGATTAAAGTAGACCTAGAGTTTAAGACTACGCCTAAAGATACTAGACCTAGTACTATTAAAGTCTCTAAATTAAAGCTAAACGATTAATAGACTATCGAAGGAATTGCCTATTATTAGCTAGTAACCGGCCCTATACTTATAGGGCAGTTTTAAGCCTATATAAGAGGCCTCCTTCTATAGAGTAGACGGATTATCAACCTCGTATAGTATATTGTTTATATTACACTTCTATAATGCCTATGTTGCAGGGCTCTAGTTATTAGCCTAAGCGACAGTCTCGTTATCCTATCTTACTAAACATAGCTGCCCGTATTGCTATAGGTTATATTACCCTCGGTAGCCTATACTATTACTATAAGTAGTAGTAGTAGTATTAGTTTCCGTCCTTTATTAGAGCCGAAGGTAGGGCTATCTCTTTATATCTAACAGGTTCGGGTATGTTAAAGGCGGTCTCTAGGCACGAATAGCTATAACCGAAGCGAGGGTATAATAAGAGCCTACGATACGGACGATACCGAAGTATCTTAAGAGGCCGTTACGACAAGCAGAGAAACCTCTTAACGAGGGCATCGCTTTAACCCCGAAAAGCTGCAAACCCTTAGGACTGTTATAGCTTAGGGCCTAGTCTATAACTATAGCTAGCTTCTAAGGACTCGGCTTCGGGTCGAAGACCTATTTAGTACCGCTTGCTCGAGATAAGCCCCGCCTAAGGAGGAGATAGATTAATTACCTATCGGCCTTACTTAGTTTGCTAAGACTATCTATACGATAGCAATTTCTAGATTATAGGTCGGATGCCTAGACAGTTCCCCTATTAACCGGATAGATTGCTTCGGGATTCGCTGCCTCGTTCGGACAGTGCTTAGCCTTCTACTAGAAAAAGAAGGTCCCCGCCCCTCCGCCTAGCTAAAAGAGATAACGATAGTTAGTAAAGTAGCTAGTTTCTAGGATCTAGGTATAAATAGAGATTGCAGTTCCTTCCTCCGAGCGGCTTTTATCTAAATTTACTAAATTAAAGCTCCTAGGGGTGTCTAGGCGACCCCTAGGAGGCTAAACTCTAATACTACCCTAGGGGTAACATTAGAAGAAAACAGCCTAGTATACTATTTTCTCGTATAGCAATATCGAAACAAACCAAACCTATAATATACACTAAAAACACTTTCCTATAGCATTTTATTTTAACTACTTTATAATAATCGAATAAGCTCTAGCGAAAGCGAGTATTACGAATTAGTAGAATCTTCGGAATCTGATAACCTACCGGACCCTATTAACGAAGAAATCAGGCGACGACTAGTTGTTATAAGCGCTATCGAACTAGGGGCTATCGAGCCTTCTACGCCCGAGGCTCTCTATAATGTCGTTATAAAGACAATTTAAGGGCAAACTAACCTTCTCCGTTAGAATAGGCGTCGCCCGCTAGAGCTAGGAAGTAGTAGGAACCCTTTATTCGAAGGGTAGAACGCTACGGCGCACGTAGAACGCTTTAAGGACAACTTAGCCGAGTATAGACTCGAAAAGGAGTCGGACTAGTACAAGGTCCGGTCCCTTACGAGGACTACTATTACTAAGCTTTACCGAACCCTTAGAACCCTAGTTAGCTACTTAGAAAAGGACGACAAGTCTAATACCGACTAGGAGGTCTTTAAGCAGGCCTTTATAAGGGAGCATCGGGATCGCGATAGCTATCGCACTAAAGGCAGTCGTACGTAGCTTAAGAACCTCTATATAGAGAGGCGCACCGAAGATAACGACCTAAAGGAGTACGTCCGCGAGTTTGTTAAGTTAGCGGACGGCATCGACTAGTAGGACCTCGAGAATTCCTAGAGAACGAGGCTGCTCTCTAAAGGGTTGCCGTAGTCTACGGCTAAGCGCGTCTTCCGTCGCTACAAGCTTAGCGAAGCTAATCCCGAGACCTTTAGGAAGTATAAAGAGGTCCTAGAGGCTATTAAGGACGACATTAACAGCTCCGCTAACGCAAAGAAGTTCATTTACGGCGAGGACCGGAATAACCTAGCCTAGGTAAGGAACGATACCTTAGGAACTAGAGGGCCTAAGTTTCTTCCTAAATCGCAAAGTAGTCCTAGTACCGTAACTCCTACTATTACTAAGCATTCTTAGGACGTTGCGGACTTAGCTAAATCCCTAGCCTAGCTCAACCTTAATACGAAAGCACTATAGCGGGTTAGGGAGGTCCTTAATACTAGTATACTAAAGGATATACTACTAGTCTACTAGGTCTCTAATCCTAACTACCCTAAGGCCCCTTTAGTTAACGTCTACGCTATACGGAAGATCTATTCTAACTTAGATAGCAAGTACTAGATGTGCGGCGGTTTTAAATATGTTTAATTAGACTGCCCTATCTAGAAAGAGCTTCTTAAGAGGAAGCTCGTTATATAAGTAAATAGTCGGTTCTACTATACTAATACCGGCGACAAGATTAACTTCGAGTAGGATCGTAGAGCTCCGAAGCTGCCTTAACTTAGGAGTCTTCTAGAGAAGAAGTATAGTAGCAAGATCGAGTTTAAGGACACTAGGAATAGTACCCTCGCCGCTATTGCTAAACGAGAAACTTAGAAGGTTAGGGCAAAACAGGTTAAGGAGCGGAGCAGTAATAGTACTACTAAGCCTATTAAAGTTAACTTTGTGTCTTAGGACCTAGACGCAGTTACTAATGTTTACGCGGTTACTAAGAACAGTATAGATATCTACGCTACTATAAGGTCCTAAACTTAGTCGTCCTAAACCTAGTCCTAGGGCAAGGGCAAGAGCCCGCAGAACCCTACCCGCCCTAGTGCGGCAGCCCCTACTAGGATACTTAAGAAGCAGGCAGCTAACAAGGCTAAGAAACAGCGAGAATTAGTCGCTAAGACTAAGACACTCTAGACAGCTAAAGACCGTGCAACCCGAGCTAGTATAGCTACTCCGGAGGTACTAGAGACTCCCGATGTCGATATAGAGGATAATACTACCGACCTTAGTAGTACCCTAGGCCTAGCTAACCCGCCGGCCTATAAACGAAAGTTAGCCGACCTAAAGAGCTTTCGCTTTAATAGGTACATAAAGAAGTATAGTGCCGGGCCTACTAACTCTTACGATACAAAGGCAAATACTCTCTTCTAGGCTTTATAGTTCCTAGACCTTAAGTCTAACGTGTCTATAGGAGAGCTTCTAGTATACGGTTTACCTACTAACCTATTCTAGAGCCGGATTCCTAACGATGCAACCTTTATAAAAGACCTTATAGCCCTTCGACGTAAATAGGGGCGAGAGGACTATATCGACGTCTCTTCCCTATAGTTCCTTCCTAAATTTTCAGAGGCCTAGGAGTTAGTAGAAGGCGAATTAGTAACCTACGAGAGCTAGGAGACTATCGATAATACTAACGAAGAGGGGATTAAGGAGATAGGCCGAGGGGATAATAATAATACCGACTCTGCTTCGGTTTTAGTTTCTATTAAGGCTATCCGATTTACTAGCTAATAAATCGGTCGAGTAGGACCTCCTCGACCTAAGGAACTTTACTCTATCCCTAATAATATAGACCTTTCCGTAGTTACCCGTTCCTTTGCTATCGTTCCCGCTATCTATATTTAAGTTACTATTAGAAGCTATAGTTAGCAGTTGCTAGTAATGCTTAATAATAGTTTAGAGTTACTTATTATAAGTAAGCGCTAGGCTAAACAGCTCCGACTGCTAATAAACAGAGATATTTCCCTTAGCATATAGGGAGTAAATAGGGAGGTTGCGCTAGTAGGTGCCTACTATAATATTATAGTAGACGCTTTCGGTATATGCTTTTCCTTTACCTTCTAGATTGCCGCTAACCCGA